TCAACGCACCTCTCAGTACCACCATTTGTAATTTGAGTCATGTCATCACTTCTGCCCAGCAGCTCTCAGGCGGGGCGACCGTTAGGGGCAGCCTAGGGCCCTGAAGGGAGCACTGGACTGAGAGCCCTGAGCCTACAGCTCTCATCACAATCACCCATGACCCTGGGGTATAGGGGCCTCTTCACTTCTCCTAGCCTCAGTTTACCCTTCTGGCAGGTGGCTCCCCTCAGCTCCCAGCATATATGGGACTCCAGAAATGTCTCCTGGATGCTCTTATCCTCCCGGCCGAGGCTCTGTGCAAGTAGGACCACTTTCCTGCTTGCCAACATGTCCCCAGCTCAGTCTGCCCCAGTCATAGTTTGTTGAATGAATGTGTTACCTGTGGAAAGTGCAAGGGTACTGTGGTGGGGCTGCCTAAGGCCATTGTGGAAGTCCATCACGGGGTAGGCTGTCGCCCAGGGCTTTATGTTCCTCATCCCATTTAATTCTTGACACCCTTCTAAGGTTCCTCCTATTCCCCAGATAAGGACAGAGATCTGTAACTCGGTCCACAAGGCCCCCGCCCCCTCTTCCCCTTGCCCACTCTCTTCCCGTCTAGTCTAGTCATCCAGGCGCCTTTCAATTCCTTGAGAGCTGCTAAGCTCTTTCTGGCCCCAGGGCCTTTTCACATGCCATTCCTTTCCCCTTCTTTTACCCAGTGCCTCCTGCTCAGCCTTCAGGACCCCCCCAAGTCTCCACCCACCCAGGGAAGCTTCTGCCCCTCCCGCTTCCACTCCCACCAGAGACGGTCGGCCCTCCGGCTGCCGGTGCTCGTGGCCCCTGCACTGGAGCTCACCCCCTGTTGTACATCTGCGTGGTCTGTGGGTCATTTCACGTCTGTCTCTAAGCCCTCGAGAGGGCAGGTCCCTGGGCTTCGCTGCCCACAGCTGTTTCCCCAGCACCCAGCTCAGAGCCCGACATGTAGTCGGTGTCCACGGACATCTGTGGGACACGAGCAGACAGAGGAGCGAGCAGCAGGTGGCAACACACCTGTCACACAGGTGAGGAGCCTGAGGCCAGAGGGACTGAGGGCCTTGCCCAGAGTCACGCCGCCGTCAGGGGAGGGGTTTGAGCTGGTCCATGGGGCTCCAGCTCCTGAGCCCTTTGCACCCACCCCCACTCCCTTGCCACCCTTGGGTGCAGTGGAGACTGAGGCAGATGAGCCCCTTTGCGTCCCGGGGGACGGGCTTGAGCCACCGGCCAAGGGCTTCTGTTCCTCTGGGAGCCCCGGCTGCTTGGAACCCTGTAAGGGATGAGCCCACAGCCCCACGCGCCTCTGGGAGCCCTCCAGGAAAGATCTGAGTTCTCATTCTGACTGCAGCTGTGCGATCCTGGCTCATCACCTCCACCCGCAGACCTCAGTTTCCTCATCAGTAAAGTGGGAGTGAGGCTCTGCACACAGCAGGGTCTGTGCCAGACACAGACGTGTGCATTGGCACACAGGGAGGCGCTTGGCCGAGACAGCTGACACGGCCCGGCGGCCTCCGGCCCAGCCCGGCCACATGCAGACTCCCAGCGCGGCCACACTCTGGTCTCTGACCTCTCCCTGTTACAGCCCCAGCGTGTCCGGCCTTCCTGCCAGTCAGCGGGCGGGCCTCTCCCCTTGCGGCATTCTCAGTGGTCACCCCTCTGCTCCTGTCCTCTCTGGGGACCCTCTTTCCCTGCTGGGTCCCCTCGGCCTCCTCAGAAGGGGGACATCTAGAGAGATGGCAGGCTGCAGGGCAGACAGTGCTAGGTGTGAATGCTTGGTTCTGTGCCACACAGCTGTGTGCCCCTGAGCAAGCCACTCACCCTCTCTGGGCTTGTTCTTCACCTCTAAGTTGAGGACTGGTAACACCAAATTCACCAGGAGTAGTAGAGAGGAGTAAATGACAGCTCATGTGTTAGGTCCCTGGCATGTAGAAGGCGCTCGGCAAATGACAGACTCCCTTCCCTCTTCTAGCGTTCCTGGATTCATCATCCCCACTGCCTCAGTTTACCTCCCTTCTTCCTCCAGGGAGTCAGCCTTCCAGCAGGAGTGAAAACACACACATACGTGTTAACTAGGGACCCCAGCACAGTGCCTCATTCAGTGAGAGCTGAATAAATATTTGCTGACTGAATAATCCAAAGAAATGAATCACTAATGGTGAAATGTCAGACCTAGGTAGCTGGAGGGAACGTTTGGGGATGGGGGCTCCTCCCTTGGTGCTCAGCTCACCTTGAGTCCCGCCCTGAGCTCAGGCATCCCAGTCCCAGCTGCGACATCTCTGGACAGGGATGTCTGACTGAAGCTGGGGTCCTCACCTCTCCTTCCCAAGCTGGGCATGCAGAGGGAGCCCCAGGCACTGACAGGCTCAGGAAATAGCAACTCCTACACCAGGACCTCCCAGAGAGTCTAGAGAATATTTCCAGAGCCACAGAGAGATGCAAATACCAGTTCAAAACCACCAGGGGAATTGCTTTTTCATTCAATAAACCTGCACTTATCGGTTCAATCAATATTGATTGAGGCTGTGTGCCCAGTGCTGGGGATCTAACAGGCAAATGGGACCCTATCTCTCTCTGCATGGACTCCCCTATCCTGATGGATGAGACAGACGCATATGCAAAGGTTAATTACAACCAACTCTTCTTGGGGGATGGGGATGATGAAGGTGAAATCAAGGAAGGCTTCATAGAGGGGTTGCTGAAGCTGAGCGTTGAAGGATGAGTAGGAGTTCTCCAGGCAAAGAAGTGGGGAGGGAAGTCATCCCCGGCAGAATGTATGGTGCATGCAAAGACACTGAGGCATGCACTTGTGTGTGTGTGTGAGCGTGTGAGTGCGTGTATGTGTGTGCATGCATTAACATGCGGTTCGAACCCGAGAGTGGCGTGGTTGAGGCCATGTTTCCCAGGCCTGGGAAAGGCAGGCTCTCCTAGGAGTCCTTCCAGAGGAGCTCTTGGTCCCCAGGCTCTGTTCTTCTGGGAGGGCAAGCGCCAGCTCCCTAACTGACCCCTGTTCCTGGCCTCTGGCCTGGAGGAGAGGCGGAAGGTCAGCCCGACCCTCTGGACGGCTGGGGTGGGCGTCCGGCTGAGGTTTTCTCCCTGCGTGGCTGAGAGGACATACCACAACTGTAGGGAATTCACAGCCTGGTGGCTCCCTGGACCCAGGTTCACACCCACCTCCCACAGGGTCCCTGGGCTCGGGGTGGAGCCTCCTGGCTCCCCTACTCACTCTATGACCTTGGGCAGCACAGTTTCCCCTGTCTGTACCTCGGTTTCCTTCTCTGTGAGACGGGGATAAAAACAAGACCTACGTCCCGGGACTTTGCGAAGCTCACATCACATGAGATACACGATAGGATGCTGATGTGATAGCGGCTGGATTTAGCCAGAAGCCAGGCCTGCACCCTCCTCGCAGGGGGAGCAAGAACCAGTGGGAGGAGCCGGGAACTGAGACCTGGGTTCGAGTCTCAGCAGGGCTGCTTGGGCCTGTCAGGGTCCCGGAGGCCAGCCCCGCCCAGCCCCCCTATCTGAGAACCGTCACACCCCAGTAGACTGAGGGCTGGAAGAAACCCCCTCCCCACCGCGTTTCCCAGGGGCCTTCTGGCAATTCTGACCCTCTGTGTTTTGTCTACTAGTGACAGCTGCCATTCTCTGTTAGCTGGAGCCCGGCCAAGTAGGTATTGTCGTCTCCATTTTGCAGATGAGAGACCTGGGACTCAGGGAGGTCGAGGCGTTTTCCCAAGGTCACACAGCCGGTAAATGAAGGAGTGGAGATTTGAACCCATGTCTGTCTCTCTGGCCACAAAACCTCAGCCTGAGATCGGTCGGCTGAGGGAATTGTGGACCTTGGTGGGAGTGGGGGTAGGGCCCCAGCGTGACTGGAGGGGAGACCTGAGACGAGCCGGCCACAGGGTCCCCCGCACGCAAACGCCATGGCCCCTCGAAGTCATGGAATGAGAAAGCCTGAGTCCTGCGCCTGGAACCTGGGTAGCTCCAGGCAGGGACAGAGCGAAGGGCCCAGAGCTTGAGGCGCGGGCCTGCGTCCCATTCTTGGCTCTTGCTCTCGCTCGCTCTGGAACTCCCAAGGAAGGCGCTTCAGGTCTCCGGGCCTCAATTTCCTCTTCTGTAACATGGGAAGCAGCCCAGTCTCTCTGAGGGTGATCTCTGGAGGGCAGACAAGACGAGGATGTGGGGGGCCTTGGGAGATGGTTCCTCGTCCCCTGAGGGGCCCAGCCAGCAGCTCCTTGTGGCAATAGCTGCCCCAGGACCCCTGCCGTGAGCTGGGCAAGGCGAGGGCGGGTATAGCCCTCATTCGTGTTCCCTCAAGAGGGGAAGTGGCAGGGCCCATGTCTGGCCTCTGGGTGCACTCAGTTCTGTCTCCTCAGACCTGTCTGGACCCACCTCATCTGTCTCCCTTATGCAAATTGCCTCCGTCAGACTGGACCGAGCTCCCACCCCATCCCTAGGCAGAGTGGCCCTCTCCACGCCCCCACGGGACAGGGCCTGTCCCCAAGGGAGAAACGTGGTTTGGCCAACTAAACCCCGTTTGAAAAGCAGACTGAGCTGGCTCTCCCCCTACCCATTTCTCACACCTTCTGCCCCGCCCCTCAGTCCATGTCCACCATGAGCCAAACCACGCTGGAGGCAGCAGCTCTCAGTAATCCTCCCGGCCGGCCTCCTGCCCCTTTCCCCCTCTTCCCTGTGGGTGACCCTGACCTGCTGCTTCCAACCTTCCTGGAGTTGCGACACTAGCACCATTGTTTGTCTGATTTCACAACACCACTGCCTATCCAGTATCCCCTGCCCCCCGACACATCCTGGAAAGACAGGCCAGATGCCCAGGTGCATCTGCTGCAAGAAGGGGAGGCACAGGGGGCAGGACAGGGGACAGACGTCTGTGGCCAAATTCTACCCCCCAGGATGACCTTGGGCAAGCCATCCTTTTCTTGAGGCCTCAGTTTGCTCAACTATAAAATGGGAGAGTCAGACAGGAGTCCTTGAGGGTCCTTCTTGTTCTGGCATTTGATGACTCGAAATCACACAGCAGCAGATTCATTCAAGGCTTTACGATGACGCCTACCACATGCTGGGAGCTGGGACGCCAGAGACCTCACCGATGTGGTCACAGCCCAGTGAGGAGGACAGAGGTGTAGACCATCACAGTGTTCTGTGCTCAGAGGCAGGACAGAGGCATGAATGAATTCTGTTGGTGGAATCAGGAAGGACTGTCAGAGGAAGGGGCATTTGAGATGGACTTTAAAGGATGAATAGAAGTTCATGGGCCTTGAGTAAGGAAAAACTTTACAACTATGCTAGTCAACATTTGGGCCACCTCCGAGGTTAGAGGGTATCCTGTAACTGGGGTGTAGACGCAGGGGCTGAAGGACATAAGGCCTGGAAGGCCAAGGAGATGGGAGCGTAGCCAGGCGCCAGTTCTAGTCTGAGATTCGGGGAACCAAAACCCATGAGCTCCCGAGAGTTCGCTGGCTGTGGGTGAAGGCTCAGCCCGCCTCAGACAGGGCGGTGAGCAGGTGGGACTCAGGACTTCAAGAGGACAAGTAGGGAGGGCTCCCAGACGGCCCACGCCATGCTGGCCTTCACATGCAGGGCACCCTAGGCTGGGAGTGCCCAGGCCTCGGTCACAGGTCTGGCGTCCCCCCTCCCGGGTGAGGCCCTTGTCCTGGCACCTGGTGCATCTGAACCCCACGAGCTTCCTTGTCTGTAACTAGGGTGCTGCCTGCGGTAGCTGTGAGGGTCAAGAGACTCACTGGTTTGCAGGTGGCCTCTACCAACTGTAAAGGGTGCTGGACACGGAAGGGATTATTATTGTTGAAATGGAGGCTCATAACCGGCCCCTTGTGTGGCCGTTTGTTTTGTAACCAGAGAAAGTGGTCTGCCCCCATCGATGTCGCGGTAATGATGGCAGGATTCCTGACACTGACACCTTTGCTTGGACCAGACGTGAGTGGCATTGGGCCTTTCGGCCTCTGCCCTCTCCAGCCCACCCTCACCCCAGCCTTCTCAGGACACTTTTACTTGGCCCCGTGGGGGGCAGAGGCTGCCTCTAGCCCCTGGAGGAGCAGGGACTCCTGGCCTGGCCCAGCCCTGAGGTGAGGGCTGACTTAGAAGTCTGCCTGGAGGTGGCCCCGGAGTCCCCAGATCTGCACCCCCAAGAAGGGGCCAGTGTGGAAGCTCCTTGTCCCGGGCAGTTGGTGGGGGACAAGAGCCTCTCTGGGAGGGGCCCCGGGGCTGCTCTGTGGGAACCCCACTGGGCACCTTCCCGGCCTGCCCCAATGGAGCCTAGGCCCACCGGGCGCTCAGCATCCTTAGCTTCTCAGCATCCTCCCTGCACTGGGGCCACTCTCCTTGGCCCAGGGGCAGAATGGAACCCTCTGGGAGGGCTGGGGGGGGATGAAGAGCAAGGGGGTGTCAGCGTGGCCCTGCTGGCAGGGGCCCAGCCGCCCGTGCTCCCAGCTCCCGGCTTCCCGCCGCCCCTCTGCCCGGCCGGGTTCTGATTTTGGTGCAGTGCAGACTTTCAGCTTAACGAGACAAATTGATATTCTGTGCCAGCCCAGGGATGGAGCGGCAGCTTGGGACACTCAGCCGGGCAGCTCAGAAGTGGGCAGGGGGTGGGGGCGGGGGAAAGAGAGCTGCTTCCTGGGGCAACCCCCAGCCCTGCCCCTCAACCCACACATGCCCCCTCCACACTGAGATGCTGGTCCTGAAGGTCCTTCCACGTCAGTGCCCTGCTCCCAAGCAGGGTTCCCCTCTGGAGGGGGCGGGGCAGTGGAAGGGAGGCTTCCGAAGCCCCTCTGCCCACTGGGACCTCCTAACCTTGCTCCCAGGGCTGTCCTCCCACCAGTGTGGATTTAAAGGGACAGCAAGTTTGCCGCAGGTGAGGCAGGAAGAAGTGGGCACCTGGCTGGGGGATTCTATTCCTGCAGACCCCTCCTTGGGGGTCTCTGGGGTCCCCTGTGCATCGATAGTCCCCAACTCACCACAGATGTCCCTGCAGATTATGTGGGTGCACAAGATATATGCAGACACCCCTGCCAGTGGGCCCCTGCGAGCAGAGAAATGACCCCTGGAGGGGGTCTTCTGCCAGACCTGAGGCCCCCAGGCAGACAGGGCGCACCCCGGCCGGGAGGTGGGGCTGCAGGGGGAGTGTTTAGATGGCGGCAAGAGGCTCACTGCCGGCTCTGCTCTGCTGGCCCTGCAGCCACAGATGTGTTTAGTGTGTGTTGAGTCCGTTGCTCCCCCCACGTGAACTTTGCCCCCCAGGTCTGGGGGTGTCCTGAACAATAGAAGGGGGCACTAGAGCCCCTTCCCAGCGGAACAAGTCCCCCGGAAAGTAGGGGACCACTTAGGACCATTTGAGCAGAACCCTCCCCTCTCCGCTGTCACCCCAGCCCCCACCATTCGCGGGACCCCCTCCCTTCTGGCGGGCCCAAGTCTACCCTCACCGTGCCCTTGACATTCCCTCCTACTTCGGGGGAGCAGGCATATTCCTGGGACTCTGCCAGCTTCAGTTCCTCCTGATCCCACGGGAGGGATTAAAACCGCAAACAACACCGTGGTGGTTCGGTCCACGCACCCGCCGCCCCTCCCTCCCCGCGCCCGGGCCCCGCAGCAGAACGGCCCTCCCCGCGCCCCTCCCTCGTCCCGGCCCCTCCCCCGGGCGCGGCGGTGCAGGGGCAGGGGCGGCCGCTGCCTCCCCCGAGACCGCGTTTCGCCGGCGAGATGCTCTCCTAGAAGCCGGCGCGGCGCCCCCGCCCCCCGCCCCCCCAACCTGCTCGCAGGATGGTACAGTCTGCAGAGGGACCGGCACGCTGGCTGGGCTCAGCCGCGGCGCCGGCTGCCGCACCGCGATTCCGGGGCTGCCCGCCTGGAACCCGTGCCCGACTGGTGGTGATTTTCGTAGCCAAGTAAGTACCGGCATCCCCCAGCATGAGAAAATAAAAAATAAAAAGCGCCCCACTCCGCTCTCCCCTGCCTCCCTCACCCATTTTATTTTGTTTCATTTCGTTGGGGTTTTTCAGTGCTGATGGAGGTGGCGGCGTGGAGGGGTGGGAGCGGGGCTTGTTTATCTGGCGGCAGCTGAGGCTGCGTTGGGAGCCGCCGGCCGCCGAGGGAGCCGCTAGTGTGAGGGTCCGTGCGCTGGGGAGGGGGGGCTGGGTGCTGGGGACACGGGCGGGGGGCCTCGGACAGGCCGATGCCGGGGTCTCAGGTAGATTCCGGCAGTCTCTGGACAGCAAATGCCCCCGATGGACGTTACGCAAGGGCCAGCCAGTCGGTGGGAGGGGGCAGTGTTCTCTTCCCGCTGAGCGCGTCCCGTGGAAATGCAGAGAACCAGAGGGTGCCCCCTGCCCGCCCTGGCCAGGGTCCCAGGAAAGCTGCCCCCACGGAGGGTCCCCTTGGCAGGGTGGGCTTCAGTGTGCCGGGACACACCAGGTCAGGCCAGCCAGGGTGTGTGGCGGCAGGGCCGGGTGCCTGGGTCCCCTGGATGGCCAGGAGCCGGACAGGAATGGGATGGCCGGGCCATTTTGCAGCAGTCACGCCGGTGGTGGAGTTGGCACTTTCTGCCCGGAAGCCCTGGTCCTCGGCCGGCCTGGTGGCCTCTGGCTGCTCTGCTCAGGCACCTGGGCTCCTCTCTGCCCCCTGAAGGGTCAGGGCTGGGGAGTCCAGCAGGGGGCCTCCGGACTCCCCGAGGGTGGGCTGCTGCGGGCACCTGCCCCTTTCTAGCCAAGTGGCCATTCCACAGCACGGCTGTCCTCTGCTCACCGGGGTTGTGTGGGGAGGGGTCTCTGCAGCTGGCCTGCCTCAGTCAGGCAAGGGGCCTGGGGGTCTTGGGCCCCCACGCAGAGGTCCGGCCTGGTGCGACCTTCAGAAGGGTAAATGGGCAAGCCAGCTCGGCCAGCAGAAGGTCCTGGTGTGAGGCTGCACACCCCTCACCCGGCGCAGAAGGGGCTCAGCTCCCGCCTGCACTGCTTTCCAGACCGCTGGCAGGAGGCAGAGCTGACGCGCGGGGCATTTCCAGGAGCGGCGAGCGCTATCCGGAGAAATTCTCCTTTGACGTGTGCAGTAGGAGGGGGCTCCGGGCACAGGCCACGGGGGGCCTCCGCCTCTTAACTTCCTTGAAGGGGCAGCGGCAGGGAGGGGCTGCTGCTCGGGGGGCAGCCTGCAGGGGGAGTCCAGGAAAGATGCCGATGGCCCATGTTATTTAGCCACCTTCGTACACCCAGTCCCATTTGTATCTGGGCATATACGTGTCCACAGATTTGCACAGATGCACACACACAACTATAGTCCACACAGTAGTGCGTCGTATATGTTCAAATCATACACACACATACAGAGTGCCCGTGCCCTCAGATACACCCCAGCACATGTAAATACAGCTCACATCCCTGCATACCACCCACTCACCTGCACATGTAAATACGGCACGTGTAAATACACGTACAAATACAGATACACCCCAGCACATGTAAATACAGCTCACATCCCTGCATACCACCCACTCACCTGCAAAATGCAGCATGCACACGAGTGCAGCATGCACACACACACGCACACACACCTGTGAATGCAGCATGCCCACACATGCATGAAGCACTAACGTAGGAATGCAGTAGGCTGCACATGGGTGAATTGGCCTGCACGTGGTGCCCTGCAGTAGCCACAAATGTGGCATGTGCACATGTGAGGGCTGGCCCTGATGTGAAAGTGACAAGCACACACGTGGTGTCCTGAATGCCATTTGCATGCCTGTCGGTGCATTGGCAGGCACATGGCACGCTGGAATGTGCCCACAGGTGAATGTGGGTTGCACACCTACAGAGATGGCCTGGGCACCGAGATGCAGCACCTCTGCGGATGCTGCGTGCACACACCTGCCCCTGAGCTTCTGGGCATCCTCTGTGAGACTAAAGGTGTCTGTGTGGGCACCGGGGAGAGGCTTGCCCCTCAGGGGACTGCCCATGAGGACAGAGGGACACTGGCTCCCGAGTGGCTGCCACAGCCCCACACAGGCCCGAGGGAAGGGCCATCTTGGGTTACTGATGTTCTGCAGAAAAGGCTGCCCAGCGTTGGGAAAGAGACAGAGGAGGGGTTAGGGGCATGGCTGCTGCCCATGGCCCAGACTACCAGGAGCTCGCACTGGCCCCGCCGACCCCCTTCTCTGGCACCAGGAGACCGACACGCTGGTGTGGGGTCTCTGAGAGCTGGGAACCGGGTTCCCTCCAGCATCTCCCAAAGTCCTCTCCAGACCAGAGGTCAGAAAAGCTGCCTGTGGCTTATGCTGTGGGAGGACTGAAATGCTGACCCCCTCCCTCGTTCTCCTCCTGCCCCCGCTCCCTTTCTTCCCACCCAGCACAAGTATGGGTCGCGGCACTTGGGTGAATAATAATAACCCAGCTAGCATTCGCTGAACTAATTGCTCTGCACACATCGCTACAGTGGGGGCTCCCACAGCCTTGTTATTACCATGCCACAGATGAGGAAGCTGCACAGAGAAGTGAAGACACTCACCCAAGGTCACACAGCTGAAACATGGCAGAGATGGGGTGGAAGGCAAGCCATCAATCCCCCTGGCTGCCCTCTTAGACCCTCCCTTCCCTCCCCTCCTGTCTGAGGCCAGTTCCAGTTTGAGGTGCTAACTTCTTGGGAACTAATAGGCCAAGAACTTGCGATTTTGAGCAAGGCTCCAAGAAAGAGTCCAGAGGCTCCTGTGGGTGAAGGCAGGTTCGGCCCTGTCCCAGGCAGCCTGATTGCTCTGCCCCCTTTGCACTGTGGAACTGATGGCACCAACAAAGCCAAAGCAGATGTGTGCACTCTGTGTTTGCCTGGCCTGGGAACCTGGGCCCATTTATAAGAGGGAAACTGAGGCCCAGCCAGGGAAAGGGACTTGTCCAAGGTCACACTGTGCTGTCTGCAGAGTGGGGGATCTTGCCAACCTCTCTGAGCTCTCGGGCACAAAGCAGCAGGGGGCCTGTTTGGAGCCCTGGTTTTCCCAAATGTTAGAGTCCAACTTGAAAGGATGAAGGCACAAGGCCAGCCTCTGCTCCTGACTGGCTGTGACCAGCTGGGTGACCTTGGACAAGTTGCTTTGTCTCTGCACCTCAGGCTCCTCGTCTGTGACCAGGGCCTGCCTGACCCTGCCCTGCCTTGGCCCGCAGCGGTCTGAGAGCCTTGGGCACTGTGGAGGGCTGTGCAGGGAGGTGTCACTGGCGTCAGGGCCTGGAACCAGAGTAGCTGAGTGCCTTGCTGCTGCCATTGGCCAAGGTCAGAAGGGGAAGCAAGGAAGGGAAGTCTCGAGGCTGGAGGGCCTCGAGCATTAATGGACCTAAAAAACCACCTGGTGGGGGGCAGATCCCTGCGTCCCCCGCAAGGATTCCGGAGGTCCTGGGGGCTGCGTCTTCACAGGTGCCCCAGCATTCTCAACTCTGTAGCTCTGGGCACCCCAGGGAGCCGAGGTTGTTGAGAGTGGGGGTGCTTGGGGAGCCCACAGGCTCTCAGAGCTGGGGGTCACCTGGGCTCCTGCCACATCTGGGGAAACTGAGGTCTCTTGGCAAGTTGGTGGCAGCACGTGACTGAAGCTCAGATCTCTAGCCCCCCAGACCCCTCAGCGCCCCCAGCCCCAGGCTTCACCCTGCACAGCTGAATCAGGCTATTCCAGAGGCCAGTCAACCTTGAAATCCAAAATGAACTGTCTTCTCAGCCGTGTGGCTGGGAGGGTGCTCCAGGGAGAGGCGGCGGCCCTGGGGTCGCATCCTGGTGACACCTCTCCCAGCCCTGTGGCCCTGGGGGACATGGCTTCTCTCCTGTGGACTTTGGTCTCCCTTCTTTAAGAGGGGGGACGAAAGCAGGGCTGTTGGGAAGGTGTGAAACGACGCGGTGCAGCAGCTGGCTCATAGTAGGTGCAGAGTCGAGGTGGAGGGCCACGGGGGACCCTGAGGTGCAGGGCGTGGCTCCTCTCTGCCTCCCTTACCTCCCGAGGGGCTGCAGTGGAGCTGGGTGGGGCACAGGTGCTGGGTGCCACGTGCACACACATTGTAGGGGGCGGACAGGCTCCCTCCCCCAGCCCCGCCTGGAGCCCACAGTGCAGCGTGGGACCCTGGCCACCCCCGCCCCCGTGCCGCTCTCCAAGACCCGAACGTTGAACCCGCAGGAATTCATTTCTCCCTCCCAGTGGGAACCTCAAACAAGAAAATATTTAGGGAGAAGGCCCCCTGGACAGAGACAAGGGGATGTCTGGCTGTACCCTTCATGCAGAGCTGGTAATAGATAGGGAAGAGGGCAAGGCCCTGGCCTTCGGGGCAGTGGGGCGGAGCCTCAGCCGGCCCATCTGTGTAGTAGGTACAGTCGGCCCTCTGCACCCAGGGATGCAGAACCATGGACAGGAAGTGCCTACTGAGGGACTCAAGCATCCGCGGATTGGGGTGTCCGAGGGGGTCCTGGAAGCCGTCCCCATGGACGCAGAGGGACGACTGTAGTAACAGAACTCGCCTCCCAGGCGGGTGAGAGGTGGCGGGAGAAGCAGTGGCCCAGAGGGCTGGGCTCAGGGCGCGGCCCCTCTGCCGGGCTCAGGGAGTGGAAGTTCTCGAGCCTGAGCATCAG